ATTAGGGGGTCCGGAGCAAGAGCAGGAGTAAGAGCAGAAGCGATGGCAAGAGCAGAAGCGATGGCAAGAGCAGAGAGAGCAAGAGATGCAGCAGGAGCAGGAGCAAGAGCCAGAGCAGCACCAAGACCAAGATTCCCTCAAAAGTAACAGTAGAGATAAAAAAAATACCCCTAATTTTGATAAAACATGTTCCGAGTTTTTTTTGGCGGTGAGGCGGGGCTCCCGCCGTTTAATATTGAGGGGAAGGGATTGTGCTGGAACGTGGTTCATCGAAGTATTCATACTGTCTTGATCCCTTCCCCCCAACATTAAACCCCCCCCTCCCCCCTCTCCCTAATATAAAAACCCAAATCCGGGGGTCCAGTTTTTATATTAGGGGGGGGGGGGTTCGGCGCATCCGGGTATGAGTCGGGTTGCTGCAGACCGTCGCCCTGAGCCTTATTAAGAGCCCTACACCCTGAGCCCTTAACTCCTAACCCCTAAACCCTAAAGCTCTGGTCCTTTGGTTTAGTAGTACTGTAGTCTTGGCTCTTTTAAAATTCATACAATCCCTAGGCCCCCTAATGTTTTTAATTAACTTTCAATTGTGGGCACGAAATCGCGAATTTCCAGGGGCCGGCAGTTTTGTTTTAGTTGGGGTTTAGTAATAGGGGGAAGCGATTAATCTGTTCTTGACTGCAGGCGGCGGGTGGCGAAAGCTGTGTGCCGAGAGATCTTTGCCCGGATCTGTGGAACTGGAGAAGGCACGTAGACCCTCATTCCTTAAACTGCAGTAACCCTAAACCGTAAACCCTGAAACCCTAAACCCTTAATCCCCTTAAACCCCAATCCAAAAAATGCTAGACCACAAGGAATAGGAAGGGATCAAATGCGGGTTGCTGCAAGAGTCTAGGGTTTCCAAGAGGGTTGTATGATATTTCGAGGTTTCTTCGGGGTTCTTGGGTATTCAAGATGCTTGTTGGGCTTCTATAGGGCCTCTATAGAGTGTGTACGTAGTCTTGGAAGCAGCATCCTTACTCATTCCACCTCGGAAATGCAGTGTGCCCACTTATGAAACGCTAAACCCTAAACTCTAGTGTAGGGGCCTAAATAATTACCAATCGTATTTTGGGGCTCCTTGTTATAGTTATAGTAGAATATACCCAAACCCGTACTATTGCAATTGTTAAGGCCCCTATATTGAATCCCTATGCAACCCTCAAAATCAAATCCCTAAGCCCCATGGCTTCCCCGATAACCTCTAAACCCTTGGTAAAACATCCCTAAGCCCCAAACCTAAATGTTGTTTGCTGAAGATGCA